ATAGTAGGAACTGCAGATGCTGGAGAATCTGAGATAACAAGGTGTAGAGCTGAATGAACACAGCAGGCCAAGCAGCATTAGAGGAGCAGGAAGGCTGACGTTTCGGGCCTAGACCCTCTGCTGCTTGGCCTGCTGTGTTCATCCAGCTCTACACCTTGTTATCTCAGATTCTCCAGCATCTGCAGTTCCTACTATCCAGATTCTGAGGACAGGTTTGCAATCTCACCGCTACCTTCTCAAGGGCAACTAGGGACAGGCAATAAATACCAGCTCAGCCAGTGATGCCAATGTCAAACAAGTATATATATAAAAAACATCTACTGGAGGTTAAATACATATGTATATATTTATATATATAACCATAGTTGTCATTTTTTCGACTCAATGTTCCACTTTAGATAATACTTACTTGTTACCAAGTTCCTTTTCTGTAACAATAATCTCCTTAACATGCCATTCCACAGCATTTTTTGAAGTAAATTTCCTTACATCTCGTGGACAGTGACCTACACAGATCGTTGCTATATCACCAACGTTCTTTGAAGAAAATTCAAATTTGTCCTTAGCACCTCTAAACATAAAAGAAATGCAACTTTTTAATACAATCAAATCAGTTATAAAGTTCTTCTAAATTAAAATAAACCCTAGAGTTACCATTATAATAATTTTCTCCATTGATATTTACTTTCTTGCTCCTACTAAGCCATACGAGGTGGACCAACTTTTATATTTCTCCCTGTAACTTCAGTTCATGTATTGTCTCCCATTCCAAAAGGCTTTCCCAAAATTGGGCCATTACTTAGTTCTCCCCATTTCCAGATACCCTCTGCACAATTAAGAACATAGAATCCCCACTGTAGATAGAACATAGAATCCCTACAATGTGGAAACAGGCCCTTCGGCCCAACAAGTCCACACTGACCTTGGTGCATCCCACCCAGACCCATCCCCCTATAACCCACCTAAGCTACATACCCCTGAACACGAGATACTAGGAACTGCAGATGCTGGAGAATCTGAGATAACAAGGTGTAGAGCTGGATGAACACAGCAGGCCAAGTTTTGGCCTGCTGTGTTCATCAAGCTCTACACGTTGTAATCTCACATCCCTGAACACTATGGGGCAATTTACCATGGCCAATCCACCTAACCTGCACATCTTTGGACTGTGGGAGGAAACCGGAGTACCCGGAGGAAACCCACGCAGACGCAGGGAGAATGTGCAAACTCCACACAGACAGTTGCCCGAGGCTGGAATTGTGCTGCCACCATGCTGCCTATGGTAAGAGCTCATCAAAATTCCAGTCTGCTGTCTGTTTTAACTTCTGAATTTGTTGTTCTTTTCAGACTCTGTTGTCTCTTGAGCTATAGGCTTTGTTTTCTTTGAAGGAAAGCTCTGCCTCAATTTCTATTGCCTTAAGGTATTGCTAACTCTACAATAAAACCCGAAAGAACTGCGGATGCTGTAAATCAGGAACAAAAACAAAGTTGCTGAAAAAGCCCAGCAGGTCTGGTGGCATCGTAAAGGAAAAAACAGAGTCAACGTTTCAGGTCCAGTGACTTTGTTTTTGTTATTGTTAACTCTACCTCAGGAATTTTCTTTTCTTGGAGGAGTTTTCCAGTGTGAATTCTTTGGATTTTCCTTTCTTCCCTTCAAACATAACCCAGACATTTTCCTTAGTCTCAGCATCATCCCCCTCACCAGTCACAGTGAGGATTTCATAGCCTATTGAAGGAAAGAAAATTACGAATGATTTTATGATCGCGTGTACTCCACAGTGAGAAATAAAGTGAAATACAGTGAAAAGCTTTCATTCATCACCACAAAAGAGTGTAATTTTGATAGTTAAAGAATGAGAGAAAAATGAAAAGATATAATTTTAAAAGAAGTCCACTAATGTTCGTTATGTGACATATACCAGTTCAAACATTCCTCTCAGCAGCCACTTAATGTCTTTGAGTTCTATAACACTGCATCTCTTTGCAGCTTTAACTGTGAGGAAATTCTGCTGTGTTGGAAAGTTACAGAAGATTTCCTTTTGAAATCAATTAGAATAAAAACTGTTCTGGCAGTGCAGTCAACAGTACAGTACCTCTACAGTAACCCCAGTTTTAAAACTGAAAAGACAATTGTAGGAATAGGAAACGAACACACAAAGTGCTCGAGAACTTGGCAGCATCTGTGGAAGGAAACACAAAGTAAACATTTCAAATCTGGTATGACACTTCAGAACTGAAAGGGGTTGGAAAATGGTGGCTTTTATACTTTTGACAGAAGCAGAGGAGCAGCGAGAGGAACAATGTTGAGGCTCAATGCAAAAGGCAAAGTGCTTGCTAAACATGATGGAAGAGTTTTGGAAATTTAAAATGGGTGTAAATTAAGGTGTGCAAGGCAGGAAATAGGTTCTCTCTGCTAAGAGGAAAGTAAACAAGACAAAGCTGTGTCGACAAAAACAGAAGTTGCTGGAAAAGCTCAGCAGGTCTGGCAGCATCTGTGAAGAGAAATCAGAGTTAATGTCTCAGGGCTGGTGACCCTTCCTCAGGAAGCTGTAGGGAGTTGGGAATCACGGACAACATAAGAAAAACTGAGGTCAGAGGTCATACAGTCAGGCTTTGAAGTTGTGGAATTCAATACTGGGTCCTAAAGTATCTGAGCAAAAAATGAGGTGTTGTTCCTCAAACTTACACTATGCAGTCACCCAGTCTGCATCGGTCTCACCAGTGTAAAGGAAACTTCATTGTGAGCAGCAAGTACAGAAGACTGGATTGAAAGAAATACAAATAAACCACTGCTTCACCTGGAATATGCGTTTGGGCCTTGGACACTGAAGAGGGAGAAGGTTGATGGGTAAGTGATTTTATGCATCTTCTGCGATTTCACCGGATGGTGCCATGAGGGACTGAGGAAATTCTAGGATGATGAGCAGTAGACCAGTGAGTTAAGGAAAGAATGTTCCCTACAGAATCCTGACAGTGGGGGGGAGGGTAAGATGTGTTGGTGGTGGTAATCTGCTGGAGGCGGTGGAAATAGTGGAGGATAATCCTTTGAATGCTGGTGGGATGGAAAGTTAACACAAATAAGAATAGTATAAGTAATATAGAAACATAGAAATATGTTGCTTTGTATCTCATGGTGGGTATATCAGCATACCTTTACAAATATACCAACAAGGAACAACAATAGGCCAATAGGCCCTTCAAACCTGTTCCACCATTCAATAAGATCATGGCTGATCTGATTTTGCCCTCAACTCTACATTCCTGCCTATCCCTGATAATCTCACATGCCCTTGGTGATCAAGAATCTATCTATCTTTGCCTTAGAAATATTTAAGATTTTGCTTTAATTGCCTTTTGAGGGAAGGGATTCCAAAGACTCAAACCTCTAGGACAAAATACACTTTCCATATCTCTGTACTAAATTGGTTTAATTTTTTTAAAAACTATGCCTCCTAGTTCTAGATTCTCCCACAAAAGAACATCCTTTCAACATCCACCTGGTCAATTCCCCTCAGGATCTCAAATGTTTCAATGAAGTCATCTCTCCCTCTTCTGAACTCATACAGGCCTAATCTATGTAGCCTTTCCTCACAAGGCAATCAGCCATTTCAGGTTTAGTCTATTAAACCCTCTCTGAACTGCTTCCAACACATTAACATCCTTCCATAAGTATGGTGACAAGTATCGTGCACAGTACTTCAGTTGCGGTCTCATCAATGCCCTGTATTTGGAAGCACCACTTGCCTTGTCTTGCATTCAATTTCACTTGCAATAAAACATAACATTCTATTAGCTTTCCTGATTATTTGCTGTATCTGAATACTAACCTTATGCAATTCATGCACTAGAATATCCAGATCTCTCTGTATCTCAGAGCTCTGTAACATTTCACCATTTTGATAATATGCTCCTTTTTATATACTGTGTTTGACTGATCTATGGCCACTCACTTAACCTACTTATATCCCTTTGTGGGCTCCTCATGTCCTCTTCACAACTCACTTTCCTCCCTATCCCTGAGTCATCAGCAAATTTAGCTACCATACCATCATCCCTTCATCCATACCACTCAAGTCTAAAATATAAAATCTACAACCAGTTCACCACCAGAATGAGATAGTATTTGCTTAATACCTGGCTTTGAGAGGCATGTTAAACAAGCTCTTAAATATGCAATGTCTGTAACTCAAACCTACGTGTGCGGTCCGAAGGTTCCAAAATGTCATTATTGGCGCAGGGGAGTTCACGGATGATCTGCCCATCATCCTCACTTTTGGCAAGCCAGCGGTCACAGGGGAATCGGAACGTTTCCTCCATGGCTTCATCCTTTACTTCAACATACTCTAAGTGCCAGCCAGCTCCTGGTCCTGAAGGATGGAAATTAATAAAAGCTGCATTGGCTAATCAGTATATTCTTGCCCTGTCACTCTCATTCTTGGTGTGTAAACTCACATCTCAACATGTAAAACTTACATTTAATAAGACCTGTTTCTGGCAGAGAATGTGGAAGACCCTGAGGATATGGGATGGCACGGTGGCTCAGTGGTTAGCACTGCTGCCTCACAGCGCCAGGGATGTGTGCTCGATTCCACTCTCGGGTGACTGTCTGCGTGGAGTTTGCACATTATCCCCGTGTCTGTGTGGTCTTCCTCCGGGTGCTCCAGTTTCCTCTCACAGTCCAAAGATGTACAGGTTAGGTGGATTGGTCATGCTAAATACAGGGTTATTGGAGGGGGGGGGGTGTGGGTCCGGGTGGGATGCTCTTTGGAGAGTTGGTGTGGACTTGATGGGCCAAATGGCCTGCTTCCACATTGTGGGGATTCTATAATAAGGTTGGGAAAAGGAGAATCTTTGCTCAATCCCTAAGTTCTCTCCTCAGGTCAAGAGAAATTGTGCAGGGGAAATGGATCTATTTACATAAGTTTACAGAAAGATGGAAAATGATAAATTGGAATTATATATTGGAACAGTCCTTCTTTATTTTGATACAATACAATACACATTGGGCCAGTAGCAGTCTATATAATAAGCCTATACTTGTTAATCAGAAAATCACAGCTGCACAAAATTTGACATAATTCCAAAATGTAAAGACCAAAGTATATCTGAAAAGAAACATGGTTGCTACTTACTGCATGTGCAAGTTCTTAATGTCCATTGTGGACTATGAGAACTCAATAAAAGGAAGCAAAAGAAAAGCAGAGAATGTCTCTCCTCTGGGCTCTTCATGGCCATATGAACACTGTTAGTAGTCATGATGATTTGGGGTGGGGCGGTGATCAGAGTTTTATTAAGGATGCAAATCTAAATGGAGCTTACGAAGGCGGAAAATTGGTTTGGGAGACGGGGCCATTTAAACAGGGTAGAGAGATGGATAAAGTTCCTCATGGATCACGGTGACCTCTCCCAAGGCCCCTCCCCCTGAAACAGTGGCAGCGTGACTGAATAACCTGCCCCTGTATGCAAGGATAAATGTACGCAAATACACATTCCAGAACCACCAGCAATTATACAGCTCTGATGCCACTTGGTGATTCTGTTAGTGAAGGATTGTTAAACTCCAAAAATGAAAAAAAAAGCTTGCGTCGTGTTTAATGAGGTACAATGGTTTCAGCACCCTACAACACAGGGATGTGAGTGTCCAGCTTCACCCATTGGCAATTTTCACATTCTTAACGTTCAGGCAAAGGCACCCGAGTACAGCTCAGATTCCTTCTCATAATAACAGTTCAAGTGATTCTGGGCTGTAATTGTCTCCATTGAGTTACTGGCCCAGGACTGTCTTCAGTGATGTCTTGGATATCAAATGAAATCCCAAGATTGTCATGTAGGGAATAATAAATTTAAATTCAAAGATGAGTAAAGGCCATTCAGCCCACTGAAATTCTAACCTCTGATAACTCTCCCATTACTGCCCCCACTACATTTTGAAAGGCCTAATACCCACTTCAGGCAAAACATTAACCTTTGAATAAAGACTTCTTTTTTAGCTAACCCTCATAAAGTGACTTTTGATCGACATGATTTATTGAGGTAAGATTTCAAAGACTTATGCCACTGATTTGCTCTTTTTGCAACGGGAAATTTATGGGAAAATTGCACATGCTGAGACTCCAGTCAAGAATCAGAGTCAATGCACCACAATTATAAGTTGTCAGATTCATTTGATTTGTCAGATCAGGGTCTTAGAAAGTCTAATGATCCAGTTTGTTCCTGCTTTCCTGAGGTAAAGAGGAAGAATAAATACAAATTACTGAATAAAGGATAAAAATCAATGAAAAAGAAACTTATGAACATATTTTAGGCCATGTTCACAGCATTATACATACCCTTGTTGTCATGCCAAATTCGGACCTTAGACAGGTCACCCAGGCTTAACATATCTGTGAACTTAAAAATATCCGTGGATTTCCGCTCAAACTTGTTGGAATTATTAGACTGTTTCAGTGCCAGGGTGCCAGTGTCACCGTGCTCTCCGAAGATGATAAGGGATACATTGGCATCAGTTCCCGCCCCTGGTTTCAACAAATAATAATGCAATGTAAATACACCCTGTGCATTTAACTGAGCACATACAAGGCAGCCCCTTGCTGTGGGATAAGGACTATATTGGCTTTCACAACTGAGATATGTGTTTGCATGTATTTAACATTGTTACATAGGAATAGGAGGAGGCAGTTCAGTCCATTAAACTTGATCTGCCATTCTAGATCATAGCTGATTATCTCCTCCATGCCTTTTGCCTGTACTATCTCCATCGTTATAATCTTACTGCCATTAGTCTCCAGAAATGTATCAATTTTTGAATTCAACCTGCTCAATGTATTCACAGCTGTCTGGGGCAGACAATTTCAAAGATTCACCACCCTCCATCTAAAGAAATTCCTTCTTATCGCAGTCTTAAATGGCCTGTAACATTTGTTTGTAAACTAAGAAAAAGATAAGTAACCACCCTTGCATAAGGTTATGGCAATGCCAGAGCCATCACTCCAAATATCTGCAGTATTATTGTGCAAGGAAAAATAACAGGGTCCTTCAGCTCCTATCTGTCTATAAGAAGGAAATTTGGCACACAATCAGTCCCTGGATGTTAGCTGGATGTAAGATGTACACAATGTGCAGCAAAATGGAGAAAGGGGATACAGGCTTACTTAAACACATCTTCTTGATAATTCAGGTCAGCTACATTGCATGGGAAAGTCCAGGCAGCAACGGCAGAGGAGCAGTGGTGGGGATTTTTTAAAGGTCATTGCCTACATGATACAGGCAATGTCGTGTAAGGGCTTCAGGACTGGAGCAACTTTGCAATGATATCAAACAGCTGCATATCACTGCATATATATATATAGAATAGTCTGATCTGAGTTAGAACAATCTAGAAGAATAAACCATGTTATACCACATCACATTTTATTCAAGGTGAGAGACAGTCTGAACAGCAAATGGTCATGAACACATGAAGAAGATAGATTAGTCTTTACCTGATAAAACCGTTAAGATCAGAACCTAGTATATCAATGATTACCATGTGTAATAGTATCTGGTTTTAATGTATTAAAATAGGATGAGTATTTGGCTGTTCACACTGATCACGCCCCTCGTGATTTTACAAAGGTCATATAAGATCAGCCTCCGACATTCCAGCTATTCAGCCTCTCCCTATAGTTCAAACCCATATAGAGATACCTGGAACTGAGCTCAGGCTGGAATTTTATTGAAGAGTTCAGGTAATTTATATTTTGCATTGTAGATATTTCCAAGTGATATTCAGGTTATAATTTCTTTCCCAATATGAAAATATTGGATGGTCAATGGTGACTCTGAAATGTTGTGCATTGAGGCAGTGATTAATAACAGGCAGAAGACTATACTCTTACCAACCTGAAACGTCGCTGGTTTTTACAGTAATGATGTAGGTGGTATTCTCCATCATCACTTCATCGTCAATCACTGCCGCAAGCTCACAGATAGTTGATCTCTTGGTGCCCCGTGTTTTGGACAGCCAGTCATTGTAGGTAAATGTGGTCACTTCCTGGGTGGCCTGGTTCAGCATGATAATCTAAAAGAAGGAAAAGAATCAGTCCGTCCAGTGTGGGGAAAAAAAAATAAGGGCTCTCTTTCCTTTTTGTTTCCTTGAACATAATCATCACTTAATTCTGGACTCCCTTCTCAACTCTTCCAGAGCGAGTACCCACAATCTAATTCCCATTTCTCCAAGGAAGGTCAGCAATGGTCTTGTACACTGAGAAAAATGGAAACTGCATCTTTGGAATACTGCTGTCTTATAATTCCTAATTATTCCAGACTTTCCAACTATCACTCTTAATGGTGTTTTCTGCTCCATTGTGATTCTGTTTATATCTACATACACACAGCCACTACACTTTCCCAGATATGCCCAATTATCCACTTTCCAATATGATGCAGGATTCCATTGCTGGCCCCTTGATGCTAATCATTTAAAGGCATGCTAATTGGCCCACTTGTGTAGAAACTTGAGGCAGCTTTTGGAGGTAGGAGGAAAGGGCATTTCTGAAAGTTTTGTCTCAGGTTGTCTACCTGATGCACTCCTGCCTCAGATAGTAACTGCTGGAGATAGTAACAGAATGGCAAAAAGGAGGAGCATGATCACTTGTTGATGGTAGATGACGCCACTCTGCACCTGGTAGATGGCTACAGTGAGATCTCCTTTAGTTTCTTACCCCACCCAAGAGATTCACAGCAATGGCAGGCCATCCATCTGACAATGAGATTCCTTCTCCATAGTGATAGCCATGCAGCTGTAGCTACACTTACCTGTTAACAACTTGTAAATTCTTCAAAGGGATCTACAGTGTCCTACAGTGAGGAGCCCTACAGTATTCCTGATTGGTCTGGGATCTTAGTGCTCTCCTCCAGATGGTAGGCTAGACTGAGACATCATCAGACTGAGAACAATAAATGATACCGAAACCCAAGAATCTTCTAAGCTTTCAAACTCCTCCGAGCTATAATCTTTTCCAATCATAAATCCAACATATTTCTTCCCATCTAACTTTGGATTATATTTGATGTTCCACTATTTCTCCTTCCCACGATGAAAGAAAATTTTTCAGTCAAGTCTCTCACCACATTATTTGGCCTTGCCAACGCCTTGTTTGCCTTTGAAATCTCCTAAAAATTCTTGATGCCCAAGATCAGGCTTAGCAGAAATACACTTCTTGCTTCACTGGCCTGCCTCACTGCCTAGGCTTGTGCAGGGGAACTAGTCCTCTTCACAATGTTCAGGATGCTCAGCACTGCACCACAACCTTAACTTAGGAAAGAAGTTCATTTTTCTAAATGGAGAGCAAGTTTGACCTCTTGTTGCAATACAATTTGAGAAAGACTGACTGTCTGATGATGTCCTGTCCAAGTCAAAATTATTTACTAATCACTCACTATCAGCAGGCTGCATGCAATCCTTCCCCTATTTTATTTGCATAGGTCTTCACTCTCTGCGTTTGCTGAATGAACAGGAGTTGAGATTTCCATACATAATCCAATATGCTCAAACTGCAGTCACTGCCATGACTGAGACCAAATACTTCAGATCAAAGAGGATCAAACACAGATTTTCATAACCCACGATGAAGCCTTCATTGTTTAGGAAGAATTATGATAAATTTCAAGTATTACATGAAATAGTACTCATCCTTGTCACATTCAATCACATGAAGTAATGATATCATCAGGCATCAAGCCATTCTACACTCAGCAAACCAACTTTTAAGTCTACAAACCTCTGAGCTCAAAACAGCCATCATCAAAAGTATCCCTTGATGCGTTCCTTCCTCCAGTATTATTTGATTGCTACTCTTCCAAGAACGTCAAGTACACAGTCCATGGAATCAAAGCCAAAAATTCTCTGTTCAACTCCATTCAGCCTTGGTAAAAATCAACAAAGACGTGTGACTGTGACCACGTTACAATTCAAGGAGCATAGGACCAGGAGGAGGCCAGTCAACCCTTCAAATTCCTTTTCTCATCCATTTGAAAATTGATAATCATGATGTTAACCCCACCGACATGCTTTGGTAACATTAATACTTCTGTCCAACTAAAATCTACCAACCTGTATTGAAAATTTCAATTGACCTCAGCATTTTTTTTCAGGGGAGAGTTCTAGATCTTTACTACAGTTTGGGCAAGGAAGTGTTTCCTGACGTTAGCCCTGAATGGCCTCAACTTAATATTATGTTTACATCTTCTTGCTCTGAACTTGAGGAAATAATCTCCCTCTACTTCCCCTACTAACTCACAGCACGATCCCAATTTCTCACTGATGTTGAGTCCTCAGTATCACCTTATCCAGGAACCAGTCGGGACGATATCCTTTAGTATCAGTGCGAATCCTTATTTTCCGGAGAGGAGCAATATCTGCAATCACCATGGAGAAGGTATCCTCTTGGCCTCTTTCGAATCTGGAAGATAAATGCATCATGGAACAAGAAGCAACACAAATGGCAGGAAGAATTAATAACCACAGTGACATGAGGTTTTGAATTTGGTGAGAAGAGAATCATTCATTTCAAAGTGGCACAAGAATGTCTCCCAAGATCAGGAGATGAATGCTCCTGGCTAAAATCCAGTGGGATAGCCATTGAAAAGACGGGGAAATGGAGTGACTGGGCCTGCTGGTGCCTCTGTACTCATTAGAATATGGAATCAACTTTATTGAAAGAAACAAAAGTCTTAGGGGACTTGACAGTTAATTAGTAAAGTTACGTCACATGGGATTCAGAGTGAGCTTGCTAATTGGATACATAATTGGCTTAATGGCAGGAGACAGAGAGTAATGGTGGAGGGTTGTTTTCGGACAGGAGGCCTGTGACCAGCGGTGTACCATAGGAATCAGTTCTGGGCCCACTTTTGCATGTCATTTATTATAAATGATTTGGATGAGAATACAGGAGCCATGGTTAGTAAGTTTGCAGATGACACCAAAATTGGTGGCACTGTAGACAGTGAAGAAGGTTTTCTAAAATCACAAAGGGATCTTGATCAAATGGGTCAATAGGCTGAGAAATAGCAGATGGAGTTCACTCTGGATAAATACGAGGTGTTGCATTTTGGTACAACAAACAGGGTAAGACTTATACAATTAATGGTAGGGACTGGGGTGGTGTTGTAGAGCAGAGGGACCTAGGGGTTCAGGTGCATAATTCTTTTAAGGTTGTGTCACATATAGACAGGGTGGTTAAAAAGGTGATGAGTACACTTGCCTTCATTGCTCAGTCCTTTGGGTACAGGAGTTGGGAAGTCATATTGAGGTTGTATGGGACATTGGTGTGGCTTCTTCTGGAATACTGCGTCCAGTTCTGGTTGCCCAATTATAGGAAGGATATTATTAAGCTGGAGAGAATTCAGAAGAGATTTACAAGGAAGTTACCAGTATGGAAATTTGTGTTAAAGAAAACGGCTGGAAAAGGGGATTTATTTCACTGGAGTGTAGGAGGTTGACAGGTGACCTGATAGAAGTTTATAAAATCATGAGGGTTTATGGTAGTTGTCACTTTCCTAGGATGGGAGATTTCAAGACTAGGGGGCACATTTTAAGGTAAGAGGAGAGAGATTTAAAAAAGATGAGGGGCAAATATTTTACACAAGAGGGTGGTTCGCGTGTGGAATGAACTTCCTGAGGAAGTGGTGAATGTGGACACAATTACAACGTTTAAAAGACATATGGATAAGTACATGAATAGGAAACGTTTGGAGAGAAATGGGCCAGGAGCAGGCAGCTGGGACTAGTTTAGTTTGGGATTATGTTCAGCATAGGCTGGTTGGGCCGAAGGGTCTATATGATTCTATGACTGTATGACAGGATTAGTGAAGAAAGGTTGTTCCTTGTGGAACAGTCTAGGACCAGTAGGCATAATCTCAAAGTAAGAGGTCACCCATTTAAGACTGAGATGAGGAGGAATTTCTTCTCTCAGAGTGTTGTGAATCTGTGGAATTCTTTAGTGCAGAGGACTGTTGAGGCTAGATCATTAAGTGTATTTGAAGCTGAGAGAGACAGATTTTTAATCATTGAGGGAATCCAGGGTTATGTGGCCAAGGTATGAAAGTTCAGTTGAAGATTATCAGATCAGTCATGATCTCATTGAATTGCAGAGCAGACTCAATGGGTTAAATGTTCTATGTCTGCTCACTTCACTAATGGTCTCATGGTCCCTGCCCTGATCACTGTGTTGCCCTTTCCTCTCCTGCTGAGATCGCTACTGACTTCCCCTTCCCCAGTGACCATATGTAGAACTTGGGGAGTCATGAGGGAGGGTACAGCACAGCCTCCCATTCCATTTCCCTGTCCTTCCTGCTATTTTAAATTCCTGAAAATCCAATATCTTTTTTTTATTGTCACATGTGCCCCAAAGTAGGAGTACAGTGAAAAGCTTTCACAATGTCTGCCTTCTTATGGCGACATCTTAGGTATAAGTACCTAGGTACAGTTCTTGGATACAGCAAAGGGATAAAGGTAGTTACTTAATTACATAGTTTAAAATAAGTTAAAAATAGGAATACATTAAGGGATATATTAAAGGGTTAACATTACAGTGTTCTAAGGTAAGGATTGTCCCCTCACACCAGTTTCTGTCCAGGACAGTTGTGATAGACTGGGATCTAAATTGGATGGACCAGTCAACGTCAATCTAGGCATTGCAAAAGACAGCTGCAAATCAAGCCGTCAACTTTCCAAAATTCTCCTTAACAACATCGAGGGCTGGGAAAACTGTCATAGACAAGTCAAGCAACAGCCTGAAGTAATCATACTCACAAAATCATACCATTCAATATCCCAGACAACCATCCCTGGCTACATCCTGACCTATTGGCAGGACAGACATGAGAAAGATGGTGGCACAGTGACATTTGGGAGACAGTTGGCCAGGGGAATCCTCAACATCATGGCATCAGGTGAAACTTGGCAAGGAACATTCTGCTGATTACCAGCTACTGCCCCCATCCTTTTACTGATGAAACAGTACTCGTCCGTGTTGAATACTTACAGGTAGGTCCAAAGAAGACCACTTCTCAGATACAGAATTCTGCACTGTCTTATTCAATCTTTCATGGGATGTAGATGTAGCTGGAAAGACCAATATTTTGTTGCCCTTCTCTAATTGCCACCAAACAAAATGGCTGGCTAAGCCAATCAGAGGGCAGTTAAAAATCAATCACATTTCTGCGGGTCTGGAGTCACATGAAAGCCAAACCAAGTGAGGATGTCAGTTTCCTTCCTTAAAGGGCATAGTGAACCAGACGGTTTTAACTATTTATGATGGTTGCATCATCATAGTTACTGAGATGAGCTTTCAATTCAATTGCTGGGCATTATTACTTGGAGTTTAAATTAGGTGGCATAGTGAGCTGCAGTTTCCTACTTCCAGTTTCAAACTCAAAACGCTCATTCAAGCCCAAATATTATTTTTAAATTACAAAGCAAGTGGCAAATAGCTCTTAAAGCACAGCTTTATTTCTGTTATTGGAAAAAGTAGTTTATAAGTAAAGGCTTTGAAGACACTACCAGTACTGAAAATGAGGTGAATCAGTCCTAATGCTTACATGATACAAACTAGGATATTGAAGACTACTGTCTGTAAGAATCATAGATGGATCAAATCTTGGCGTTTGGAATCATATTGAAGTTTAAAACCCACCTGTCTCCATTTTTATCAAGTAACATCTCCTCTGTGCTTCCATTGGCTCCAAAGACAGACATGTAAATGTTGGCATCTGTCCCACCATTTTGGACGTCACCAGTAACCACAGTTATTTCATAAGAGATCTGTTCAACAGCCATATTTGGTGTTAACTTAATACTAATGGCAGGCACAACCAGAGAATTGAATTATTATTTCATCATTACAAATTCAATTTGTATTTATCTCTCTTCTCTGTGATCCATTTCATCACTACAACTCTGATTCCCACTTTCCATCTTGTTTATTGTTTACCATTTCATTACTGATTCACTATTCCAGTCCACTTTCATATTCCTTCTTTTGTATAGATTCTATTTCTGTGCGCCTTTCATTTTTATCTCTAAACCCATTTCTTACTTATTTTTAATCATCTCCAATGTCCAAACTGATCACATTTCCTTTTCTTCATTCAAACCCTTCTGATTATGCTAGATTATATATTTTGGACGCATTACGGAAAAATATGAAGTAATTCTTACCTTATGTCCAATCTGGACAGCTTCTGCATCGAGGATGTTGAACACCCGTGCTGTCAGTCCATCACCCCGGTCTTTGGCAAGCCAGCATTTGCAATGAAAGACATACATGACACCTTTAGTAGGCACTGAGATTTCCAGCTCCTCCACTAACCAGCAACTCTCTGGAGTGGCACCATCGTGACCCAACTGTTCAGGGAGAATAAACCACAATCAGAGGACAACACAATATTGGAAATGTGAAAGGGCCAAAAGATGATTTGCATTTTGTTACAGGCAATGAAGTAATTTTGTAGCAAAAAATTGCTGGAAATACTCAACCGGTCAAGCAACACCTGTGGAGAGAGAAACAAAATTGACATTATCTGGTCAATGACCTTTCATCTCAAGTTCTTTGCTTCTCTGTCTGTGTGGCACGCTGAGGGTTTCCATTGTTTTCTGATTTCCAGCTTTCATGATATTTTGCTTAACTACTTTTAAAGTTTTGTCACTGTTGTAGTGTGGGATAGCCAATTTGTGGACAGCAAACTGCAGCATGTGACCAGTAGCACAACTTTATTTTCTGTTAATAGTTTCACAGAATCTTATGTGTCTACATGAGAGGGAGGATTGTTTTGATATCTCATGTGAAAGATGTGAACACACCCTCAGCACTTCACTGGAAGGTTAGCCTAGATTTAGCCTTCATGTCTCTGTTGTGGAGTTCGATTCCATATCCTTCTGTGAGAGCTTATGTAAACTGAGCCTATATTCTAAGCACTGAGCACTGCATCCCAAACTTGCTGAAACTTGGTGGCTAATGTGCATGCGATGAATGGTCACTTGATGTGGTACCACACCAGAATCATAGAAACATATAGTTCAGAAGAGGCCATTCTGCCTTTGAATCTGTACTATAACATACTACTGAAAATAGTACAAAAATATACTCCTACCTATACTAGTCCCGCTTTTCTGTACTAGGCCCACTGCTTTGAATGCTATGACACTTCAAGTACTCATCCATGTACATTTTTAAAAGTTGTGAGGTTCCTCTGCTCAACTATCCTCCTAGGCAGTACATTTCAGACCCTCCACCACCCTCTGGGTGAAAATTCTTTTACATCAAATACCCTCTAAACCTCCTGTCTTTCACTTTAAAATTATGTCCCCTCATTAATGACCCTTCAACCAAGGGGAACAGCTGCTTTCTATTCACCCTGTCCCTCATAATCTTACACACTCTATTAGTTACCCCCTCAACCTTCTCTGCTTCAAAGAAAACAACACAAGTTTATCCAACCTCTCTTCATCGCTGAAATGCTCCATCCCAAGCAACATTTAGGTAAATCTTCTTTGCGCCCTCTCCAGTCACATCCTTCCAATAGTGTAAGCAAAGTCCTGTACAGCTCCAACATGGCCTCCCCTACTTTTATAATCTATGCCTTGACTGATAAAGGCAGGTATGTATCCTGTATGCCTTCTTTATCACCCATATTAACCTGTCCCACCACCTTCAGGGATCTGTAGACAAGCACCTGAATCGCTCTGTTCCTCTGAGTTTCCGAGTGTCCAGCCATTCACTGAGTATTCCCTTGTCTTGTTCCTTCTTCCAAGGTGCACCACCTTACATTTATCAGGGTTAAATTCCATCTGTCACTGATTTGACAACCTGACCAAAAGGCTGCTACTAAAGGCAGCTGATCTCCACTTAACAGCACGGTTATGATTGTACTCTGGATCAAAGGGTTACAAACTGGAACATTTCATTAAAAATTATAAAGTATAAAATTTGTTCCCTATCTCTTGTTGGTAAATATTTGTAAATTTATGACCAGATCCAGAAACTCATTAGAGCAGTTTCCAGTGTTAACAGGAACATTGTAGTTGCTGGACAGAATCAATACTTTAGGATTTTATCTGAGCTCACCTCAATTTTCTTAATCTCGCCAACGTCCAACCCCATCACCTGAAACTTTTCCATGGATCCTGGAAGAAATGCATTTTTGCCTTCAGGAAGCTCCAGCCACATTCGTGAAGTGTGAATCTTCATGGGTCCCATGATAATGATATATACACGGCTATTGGTACCAGCATCTCTTTCCTGGCCTGTGGTAATTGTTACGTGGTAAGGAATGTCTGTTAACAGATGAAAGTCAAGAAAATGTGTTACTTCATTATCTCATGATCAGTTCAATGTCAATTTCTCCTTTGATTTGTTCACAAATCTCTTCAACAATGGTTGCAGTATGAGCTGGAGTTGTAAATCTGTCCATGTAAACCTGCCAGCTGTAGGTTCCCATTCCCAAGTTGCTGATAAATAGAACTGCAAACCAAATCAACAATTTTCTCCATTCTTTCTGCATGCTTTTTATGTTCCCATCCATTGTTCAATCTTTAGTGTGTTGCTGCTTCAATTTATAGAGTCCAGGGTCAGAATTGCATGGCGCCCCACAGTCATGTATGAGGGGAGTGTCTACCTGCTGCTTATCCAAACACCATGACCTGTCTAACTCTGGGTAGGTTGGAGAGGCGCTGGAGGCATTGCGTGGATTATCTATCCTTGGGTCTATTGGGATTCTAAAAGACCAATTCATGGCCATTCAGTGCCCTATCCAGTCCCTGCTACAATAATACTAGCTGCAGGGAAGAGCCAATGCCAAGGAGGGCCCCCATGAATTTTAGCGTGGGGTGTGGATCCTGGACTTACCTTCAGTCTGGCCCCCCTTAACTCCTCTTTTTCATGGACTGGCTGAAGTCCTAGCTGTGGCCACTGTTCCACTCTGGTGCTGTTGGTTCCATAGAGTGTCTGGCCATCTGATTACTTGGCAACTCACTAAGGTGGGCCAGCCTCTCCAGATGGGGGCAAGAGCCTGACTCTGAGCTAGTTAAGGCTTGCTCAATGTTAAGTGGCTGCAGGGCAGTCAGTACCAGCGGGAATGCATTCTGAACTGACCCTTCGGGTGGCAGTGCAGGAAACATGGCCATTGAAGAATCTTGCCAAAAATACATTATGACTCACAAAAATGCATTCAGCACATTGAGTCCATCCTATCTCTTTATAGAGGAATCCAATCTGTTCCATTTCCCCACACTATCCCCACAGGCCTGCCAAGTGCCCATTCAACTTGATTTTGAAATAATTGATTGTATTTGCCTCCACACTCCATATAGACCATAAGTTCACCACATAGGCCACTGATAGTGCAAAAATGTTCTTCATCACACCTCTCCTCACCTCGTGTCACCTACCCAAAACCTTAAATCTTGTCACATCAGCTTATGTCAGCAGCTTTTCTTTACCTAACTCTGTCTAACCCTGTCATAAATTTGTGCATCTCCCTTCAGCCTTCTTTGCCCCAAGGAGAACAGCTAACCTGGTAGCTAAAATCCCTCATCCCTGGCACCATTCTAGTTAATCTACTCTGCACTATCAGAAGGACTCACATCCTTCAATAAATGCAGTGACCAGAACTAGGTGTAATAGAGTTGGGACCTAACCAGAGCTTGATGAAGCTCTGAATATCTTTGTTGGTTTGTACTCAATACCTCTATGAAGCTCAACATCCCTTATGTTTCACTAATTACTCCATCAAATGTCCTGTCAATGCAAATTAACCCTCAGGTCCCCATTTCCCTACATCTTGTGTTTCAGCGTATGTTTTCTGCATTTCTCTCCTTTAGTTTCTTAATTTTAAATTTCTCAGCCTGTTTCTCCACTAACTTCCAACCCTTAAGTGTGTTTTTCTCTAAATTTAATATCAGTGATTCTTCCTTTATAGGATCTCACAGGAGAACAATTAGCTCAGTGTGTCTATGCTATTTTTGAAAGATTTATGCAAATCCATTGCCCTTTCTATGCTTAGCCTCCAGTTTTTCTTTCTTTCTCATCTTTCTCCCAATATTACTCACTGACTTCACCCATTATCTTTCAGCCTTTATCCTCTTAAGGTCTTTCCCTTCATATCACACCCTTCAATCTGTTTTCCCTGCATCACTCATCTTTATGTTTCTCCCTCTAACTCAGATCCTTGTGTTTCACTCTCAATATGCTTCTCCCTCTGTCTAATTCTTCATTGCCTCTCTGTCATCTTTAAACTTCCACATATCTTTTATTGAGTATTTTGCCTATATTTTCTCTCCTTTAACTTCTCATCTTAAATTTCTCATCTTTAAGTATTACTTCCCCCACCTCTCGACCTTCAATTTCACCCTCCTCACATCTCCACTTGTTCAGTGTGTCCTTCCCTCCATCTCACAATTTTCAGGGTATTCCTCCCCCATGTCTTAGCCTTCAGTGTAGTTACTGGTGTATTGAATAAACATATCAGCCAATTTACACACACCAAAATCCCACAAAAAACAATGTGATAATGAATGGATAATCTGTTATTCTAATGTTGATAGCTGTGAATATTCTAAAAATCTTGCTGCATCTGCTCCAAACCTTTAAATCCTCCCTGAAGTGTGCCACTCAGAATTGGACACATACTTTGCTTGGACTATACTTTATATAGATTTAACATAATCTTCAGGCTTTGACTTGATGCCTGTACTTTTAAGTACAAACACCTTAGATCTTATGCTCCTTCTAAAAGTGCACCATTTTCTCATTCTAAAATGCAACACTTCGCTCTTTGCTGCATTGAATCTCATCTGCCATGTGTTAGGCCACTCCAACATGAAGTATGTTGTTGTCTTTTACTACATTTTCAATATCGTTTCTTCCACAAATTGTGAGTATGTGCCCTGTACCCCCAAGCCCAAGCAACTGATATTTATCAAAAGCAGCAGTGGTTTGAGCCTTGCAGAACACCACAGTACGTCTCCCTTCTAACAGAAAAATCATCCACCACAACTGTTTTCTATCCCTTAGTCACTTTTGTATCGTTGTATTATTCTATGATCCATTTTATTTTATGATTTGCAATTTTGCTAATGAGCCTAACTTGTAGCACCTTGTGGAAACATGTTAATATTTAGTGATTTCTGGTGCCAAGTATGTATTCGGGAAGGACTGTGTTAATGTGCTTCTCCTCTGGGATGGAGAAATAACTACATTTCAAGTAGCAGGCAATAATAAAAATTGTAAAGAGGAAAGGCAAAGCATCCTTTATGAGACAGCTTTTAACAATGATTCTTGCAGAAAGCTCTGTGATGTATCATTGATTTTGCTAAATGGACAGAAGGCTAACTTTATTTCTGTCATGTGTTTAAAGTCTTTTCAGAAAGCTAATTATATTTTTTTTAATAAGCATGGGCAAAATAAAGTTGAATATATTCTTACTAGGTCCTTCCTCAACTGTGTCTTCAATAATGCTTTTCCGTTTACCCTTCTTGGTTAGAGCACTATTGTTGATGTTTCGGACACTCAACGAGGAACCATGTAAGCTTTTAGCAGAACTGTAAATACTTGATCGATCTCCCTCATAACCCTATAAGGATAAATCGAAAAGATCATCCAAGGTGAAATGACATTCACTCCAATGCTTTACGTCTAACATCATCACTGTTCTAAATCCCTCACCTCAATTTCCCATATCGTCCCAACCCTCAGCTTTTTCCACAAGCCAATTTCACTCCCCTGTTTTGTTCCCCTCATGTTCACCATAATTGATGCTTTTGAACTCTTGCTCACAGACGGATGTGGAAATTTCCCATCAAGGGGTCTACGTTTGAGAACATGAGAAGTGATCCCACTATCATGTCTCAATATTGTTATCAAAAGAGTCCAATCACCAGTCTATTGAAATGCAGTGACAAAGGGTCCACTGCTTTTTGTCATATATATAAATTTGGATGTGAAAATAGGAAGTGTGGTTAGTAAGTTTGCAGATGACACCAAAATTGGAGGTGTAGTGTATAGCAAAGAAGGTTACCTTAGAGTACAACAGGATCCTGATCAGATGGGCCGATGGGCTGAGGAGTGGAAAGCAAATCCAGGCAGGACTTAATGCGATTAAATGAAAGTGCACTTACATTTGCATTTACAAATGTAAATACACTTAATGGTAAGGCCCTGGGGAGTGTTGCTAAACAAAGAGACTTTGGAGTGCAGGTTTATAGTTCCTTGAAAGTGGAGTCGCAGATAGATAGGACAGTAAGAAGGAGTTTGGTATGCTTGCCTTTATTGGTCAGTGCATTGAGTACAAGAATTGGGAGGTCATGTTGCAGCTATACAGGACATTAGTTAGGCCACTTTTGGAATACTGTGTTCAGTGCTGGTCTCCCTGCTGTAGTAAGGATGTTGTGAAACTTGAAAGGGTTCAGAAAAGAGTTACAAGGATATTATCAGGGTTGGAGGGTTTGAGCTATAGGGAGAGGCTGAATAGGCTGGGCCTATTTTCCCTGGAGTGTCAGAGGCTGAGGGGTGACCTTATAGAGGTTTATAAAAGCATGGGGGGCATGGATAGGGTGAATAGACAAGGTCTTTTCTCTGAGGTGGGGGAGTCCAAAAGTAGAGGGCATAGGTTTAAGGTGAAAGGGGTAAGATTTAAAAGGGACCTAAGGGGCAATTTTTTCATGCAGAGGGTGGTGAGTCTATGGAATGAGTTGCTAGAGGAAGTGGTGGAGGCTGGTACAATTACAATATTTAAAAGGCATCTGAATGGGTATATGAATAGGAAGGGTTTAGAAGGATATGACCCAAATGCTGGCAAATGGGACTAGATTAATTTAGGATGTTGGTCAGTATGGACGAGTTGCACTGAAGGGTCTGTTTCCCTGCTATACAGCCCTATGACTCTATGACTGTATGACTGAGAGACACCAGTAATATTTTCCAGATAGTAGGAACTGCAGATGCTGGAAAATCTGAGACAACAAGGTGCAGAGCTGGATGAACACAGCAGGCCA